AGCTGCATACAAGTACCAAGGGAGGTGTTTATTTGCTCAATCAGTGAAACCACATCGGGTACAGTAGCTGCGGATGGAGTCACCACCTGGTTGACTTGATAACAGTGTACTGTCATTCTCTAGGGTGCATCTGCCTCGAATGGGATTTGGTAGAAATCCCCACCCCTGCGTCTTTCAAGTCCTTGATGGTGGCGCTACACTCCGCAATCCCTCCATGAACGTGATACTGCTTTTACTTTACTATTTTCCCAGGTAGAAGCCGTTCTAGTGGCTTCCACTTGGCCCTCACTCCACAGGTCACAGAAACCAGGTGTAGTGGCAAAAACTGTTTCAGTTACACATTCTGGACCCCCTGGGCCTACTGCGAATCAGACTGAAGCTAGAACCCCAGGGATCACCTGACTGCCATAACCTCCTACTCTGACTGGTGGCCCACAGTGACATTTGGGGTCGCTTGGAATTAGCATCAGTTCAGAGCCAGTGTCCAGTCGTCTCTGAAAAGATTGATTATCTCTCAGTGTACTGTTACCTGAGTACAAGGCCATAGGGCCCTTTGCGGCAGGCTGGGAGAAAGAAAGACTAAGACTTAAACTATTCAGCAGTGTGGGCAGCCCGGGTGGCCCAGCGTTTTAGCGCCTGCCTTCAGCCCAGGGCGTGATCCTAGAATCCCGGGATCGAGTCCCGCATTGGGCTCCCTGCATGGAGCCTGCTGCTCCCTCTCTTTCTCTGTGTGTCTCTCATGAAAAAATAAATAAAATCTTTAAAAAATTTTTTTCAGCAGTGTGCCGAGGTCCTTCCTGAAGGGGACCTGGCCTCCCCTTTTTTCAAGTGGATCGGAGTCTGTGAACTGGTTCATGTCTAGAAATTGAGGGGCCATGATTTTCCGTTTTTAATGATTCAGGTTAGACTTTTATTCCCTTGACCTAGGTGTTTCTGCTTATATAGATCAGTTAAGAACTCAGTAGGGAAAAAAAAAAAGGAACTCAGTAGGCTTCCTGTTTCACTTCTAGGCCCTCGTGCTCAGGTAGCCAATACCGGAGGGTCTGCGCGAGCCAGGCTATTATGACTGCTGCTTTCCCTCCACTGTCCATTACAGAAACCTTAGTCACACCCTGCCTTTAGTGATTAAGTGCCACCCACTGGCCCCTGCCACACTGGGACCCAATTACTACCACTGCATTTCGGCTTCCCAATTCAGTGACTGCAGTTCCTAATATGAGGCCTGACAACAGAGAAGAGCAATCACAGAACTCCTCGAGGTTGCTGGTGCTCCCTTCACAAATTTATTCCTCATGGTGTCTCGGTGAAAGATATGTCTTCTGGACCCTCCCACGGTGAGTGAGCACGTCTCAAATGACAAATTCACTCTTACATTCCAGTCCTGCTGAGCCTTTTGATCCCTTCCTCCATATTAAACTAAAGCGGTTTCAGCATTTCTATTGTTCATGGTGAGCCACCTTTAGGTCCATGTTACAGTCAAACAATCAAGCCGTTAGAGACCTTTCTAATTCCTGCTATAATATTACATGCAGGGTCCCAGGGTGTCTGTGAGGCTCAGTTGGTTAAGCAGCTGCCTTCAGCTCAGGTCATGGTCCCATGGTCCTGGGATCGAGTCCCGCATCGGGCTTCTTGCTCACTGGGGAGCCACTGGGGAGCTTCTCTCTCTCCTTCTGCCACTCCTTCTGCTCGTGCTGTCTCACGCACTCACTCTCTCTCTCAAATAAAATAAATAAATAAATAATCTCTGCTTAGTGAGCCCCTGTCAATAAATTTGCCTGATGCAGCTTTATGTCTTTCTATTATTACCCCACACCCTCAGTATCCATTCCCACACACATTCCCTGGATTTCTATCTGTATAAATTGGAAAGCTCAAGTCATTATTTTGGAGTGGCACATACTTCACTTCCTCACGGGTCACACTTTGTACCTTGCCTGTAGGGACCTGCTGGGATCGGAATCTACTTATAGGGCTAGAAGCAAAGAGGGGTGGTGGAGGTAGGTCCTGAAGAGAATCAGATCAGCACTATCTTGCATGGCAACTGCCTCAGAGGAGGCCATTATGGTTTCCTTGGGCAACGTGTAGATCATCTGCTCACAGGGAGGTGGAGAGGCCGATCCCACTATAAGTTTAGAGGCTGCTGCCACTGCAGGTGGGGAGGCCGCCCACCCTTCCACTCAATTTAGGGGCTCAATGCACAGAGCTTCAGCAGTGTCTTCCCACATGTCCTCTCCATCCCAATCTATAGGATTCCATTATTTCTCAATCAAGGCCTCAGTTTAACACCCTTCAAGTCTGGAGGTTCAACTTACATTGTAATTCAGGTAGTTGTGCATGAGGTTCTGCATTTGAATTTTCAGCAATTTTGGCTCTTTGGCGCTAGAACATAAAGATCTCTTTTTTTTCCTTTTAAAGGTTTTATTTATTTATTCATGAGGGAGAGAGAGAGAGAGAGGCAGAGACACAGGCAGAGGGAGAAGCAGGCTCCATGCAGGGGGCCTGATGTGGGACTCAAACCCAGGACTCCAGGATCACACCCTGGGCCGAAGGCAGGCGATAAACCACTGAGCCGGCAGGCGTCCCGATAAAGGTTTCTTTCCGGGCTCAGTTAGAAGCTCCTAAGCCAGTTACGTGGTGTTTGAGCTGGTAATTCAAATCCCTGAGCTCATCCTTTCCTTTCACCACATTGTCCAGTCACATTAGGAGCTACAAACCAATGTCACTGTATTTGTTAGTTTTCCAAAAATGTTGAAAAGTATCACATACAGAGTTAACTAGCTCCTTGTTTCTTATAAGTGGTTGATTAGGAATATCCAATGCAGATAGCTTGCATATCTCTCTGAGCTCATGCCATGGGTGATCACTGTTCTCTTTATTATGAAAAACAGTCACTAGCATTTTCAAATCTAATCAGATTGTAAAGCAAATTCCAGAAACCCCAGAACCAATTCAGAGAACTCATCTCTAAAATTCTGTTCTTCTAGAATCACTCCTGGTACTAAATCTGTATTAGTGAGGGTTCTCCACAGAAGTAGGACCAAGAGAACCAACAGCTAATTCATTGATAGATGATAGATAGATAGATAGATAGATAGATAGATAGATAGATAGAGGAAGCTGAGGGGTTCCATGACCTGCTGCCTGCAAGCTGGAGACCCAGGAAAGCTCGTGGTATAATTCAGCCCGAGTCCCAAGGTCTGACCAAGGGAGGGGGAAGTGGTGCAAATCCTAGTCAAAGCCGGAGGAAAAAGTGAGATGAGATGTGACAGCTCAATAGTGAGGTTATAGGAAAGGGGAGGAGGGCAAACTCCTGCTTCCTCCACCTTTGGTGTTATTCAGGCTCTCAATGATTGGATGACGCTTGCCAATGCGTCATCCAATCTGCTTTACCGAATCCACAGATTAAAATGCTAAACCCATATGGAAACATTCCCACAAATGCACCCAGAAATACTGCTTACTAGGGGTACCAGGCAAGTTGATACACAGGATTAGCCATCACACCCAGTAAGCCTCTGCTTGTGGGAGTGTGACCTCAGCAAACCCATAGTGATTGCTCTTCCACACAAGCAATTGCCCAATGGCACTGCCTATTGCACAGAGCATTGATACTCCTCTTTATAGAACGGTAGCCAAAAATACAAGTGACAAAGAAAAAAATATAATTGACGCCATCAAAATTAAAAACGTTTGTTCTACAAACAATACCAATCAAGAAAGTGAGACGACAACCCAGGAAAGACAAATCTATTTTAAAATCATGTTTGAGGGGGTCCCTGCGTGGCTTAGCGGTTTGGCACCTGCCTTCGGCCCAGGGTGTGATCCTGGAGACCCAGGATCGAGTCCCGCATCGGGCTCCCTGCATGGAGCCTGCTCTTCCCTCTGCCTGGGTCTCTGCCCCCCCCCCCCGTGTGTGTGTGTGTGATGAAAAAATAAATAAAATCTTTTTTAAAAAGTAAAATAAAATCATGTTTAAACCGCTCTTACAACTTAGAAACATTACTCTTAGAATCTTCAAAGTTTGAGACTGGCAGAGAATTTTTTTTTTTTGCCAAAAAAAACAACCTTTATTGTTTAGAAATGCATACATAGTTGGGCAAACTATAAAGTCATGTGAAGCGATTTAGCATTTAAGTCATCGTAGCTGTTCTCGTAGGGATGGACATTCAAGGGTATCACTCAGGGAACCTCTGGGTTACTAAGGGCAACGTTTTATTTGTTTGGGTGCTTTTTCCAAGCATGTTTCTACTTATTAACTATGTATTTATATTTCATGCACTTTTGCTTTTTTAAAAAGATCACCTACTTGCGGAGAGAGAGCATGTGCAAGCAAAGGGAGGGACAGGGCAGCCCGGGGGGCTCAGCGGTTTAGCGCCGCCTTCGGCCCAGGGCGTGGCCCCGGAGTCCCGGGATCGAGCCCCAGGTCCGGCTCCCCGTGTGGAGCCTGCGTCTTCCTGGCAGGGGCTTTGTGGCATGACCCCGTTTCTGCCAGCTTGCCACCCTCCCCTCGCCATTTACTGACGGGGCAGCCTAGGTCCGCAATCGGACCGCGGGGAGCCGGCAGGGTTTCCCCCAGGGCACAGCTCTCGAGGGTCCCCGTGAGGCTACATCAGCGACGCACGACGCCACTTCCCCACCACGATCGCCGCTTTTCACCCTGCCCTTTGTGTGACGTCGCTGCTTCCACGTGCTCACGCCGCACGCGCTCCGCGGGGGGGGCGGGGGGGTGCAGGGCTGGCTCGCGCAGGCGCACTAGGGAGCCCGCGCGGCCTCATGCGCTGGGGGAGGGGCGCCACGAGGCGGGGGCACCACAGGGTCTCAGAGGCGACCCGAGGGCAGCGAGGCGGCTGGCGGGAACCAATCACGTGCCAGGAGCCGCTCCTGCGTCTGTGTGCGCAGGCGCTCTGAGCACTCCCAGCGGCCTTGCGCGCGGGGGGCGGAGCTTCGCGAGCCAGCCTCATTGCCTGAGGGCTCGCGTCGGAGGAGGCAGCTCGCTCACCATGCAGGCTCCCGGCGGCGCTGGTGGTGCGGAGGGTGGTGCTGGAGCGCCCGATGGCGATGGAAGCCCCCCGAGGGAACCCGAAGGTTGGAGCGGCACCTCCGACGAGGGCCCCCAGGCCGGGGGAGCGCCTCAGGTCGAAGGGGTGTCGCCTGACGGAGGGCAAGGTGAAGAGGCTTCGGCCTCGACCTCGGCCGCCTGTGGCGGAGCCTCAGGAAACCAGCTGGAGTTGTATCCTTTCCGAGGAGCCCCCCGGGATTGGAAGGGTGCTGGGGCGGGGCGGGCGGCGGGCAGAAGCGGGTTCAGCGTGTGGGGGGCCCGGAAGGGGCACGGGAGGAAGGAGGCGGGCCGCCCCGGGGGACAGGAGGGTGGCGGGAGGAGGGTGTGGGGCCCGCTCCCCGGGGCGGCGAGGCGGTCTGGGGGAAGGCGGGCCCCCGTGGGCAGGGGAGCCTGAACCGTAAAGTCAGCACGGACGGCGCCTTAACGAAATCTCCACAGCAGCCTTACGGTGCCTTTTCTGTGCTACGTGGATGCCGAAGTGGCCCGCCAGTGCCTGATTTCGGATGTTGAGCCCTTCCAAGGGGCGGTTCACACGGAGCTCACGGTGATCGGCAACGACCTGCTGATGTAAGTTCTAGAAGGCGCTGGTGGGAGAGCAAGCGGCAACCTGCACGGGTCTCTGCCTGACGGAGCCTGTTGGGGGCGTGCGGGCGCTGAACCCCGGGGCTGAGGAGACACGAGGCGGGGGGAGGGGCACTGGGGCTGTCGCGGCCTCAGGACTTGCTCTGCAGGAGCCGTGCAGGAGTAACCTTGGGGGGGGGGCGGAGGGGGTGAAGGGGAATTCTATCTGACGTGATTTCTTTTGCCCCTCACTCCCTTTTAGCAAGCTAACTGCTGAAGACTCGGCCCTGCTGCAGATTTCCACCGCGTGCTTGCTGAACCAGCTTTCCCTGGTGGTGCAGACCATGCAGCACTTCGTGCCTCCGTTTTTTCCGAAGCCTCGCCCTGGCAAAGGGGGCTGAATCCACAAGAGAGTCCCATTGCAGGCAGCGCATCCTTCCTTAGAAACATGATTTTTCGCAGGATTGCCACTTAGTTTGGGGGGATGTCATTGTTTGCCTGCACTGGCCCTGGGGTACTCCTTACCCACTTGTTTTCATTGTTCAGATATTTGTTACTGCAGAGAATAAAACAGCTGATGTTATGTATCTGGCTTGCTTTCTTTTTTTATTATTTAAAATATTTTATTTATTTATTCATGAGAGAGGGCGGGGGGCAGAGACACAGGCAGAGGGAGGAGCAGGCTCCATGCAGGGAACCGGACACGGGACTCGATTCTGGGTCTCCAGAATCATGCCCTGGGCCAAAGGTGGGCACTTAACTGCTGAGCCACCCAGGGATCCCCTGGGTCTGACTTTTCTGTCCGCATCACGATTTTCTCCCCTTTGTCCTCAGGTTGGAGGGGAGGTTCTGGGATTCAGATACTCAACTGGTACAAGGCAGTCGAAGACAATCGAGAAAAATGAAAGAAAATGAAAATTGCATGTGTCCTGTCATTCACCATTAACTAATGTCAGCATTTTGGGATACTTTTGTAGTTTTTGGGTTGTAGGAATAATACAATGACCCTATGACAATCAGATACAGGAGTAAGGTTTTTCAAGTTCATCAGTTTTTTTCCTGAGATGTATTTCATCTGCTATTTGGCCTTTACCTCTATCCAGAACTCCAAAAGCGTCGCATGGATACATACACGATGCTTTATAATATATTGGTTCCACACTTCATATTTTTCCCATTTTTTTTCTTATTTTTTCATCTTTCAGTGGGATTCTTGTATGTAAGTCTCTGAATAAACGGCTGTTTTCTTAAGATAGAGTCCAAGAGTTGCATCTACAATACAAAATTGTTCTCCAGAAAATGCGCCCACCCCCTCCCCAGAATGCTGGTTTCCCCACCTCCCTGTCACGGCCCTGCCACAGGAAAAAACTGCACAAGTAAACACTTTAGAGACACTAGAATAAAGACTGTGCTTCGCCGACCTGGTTTCAGATCACAGAAGAAAAGTGCTGGGACAATGTGTAGGTTGAGGCAGGTGAGGGACGGCGAGAGGGAGGCAGTGTAGCGGAGTCTTGGGAATTTACTTTTTCCACGAAGGCCCAGTTGTTAGCATTGGTACTGCGGCATACCAGTTGCCGGGAAGTACACAGAGCCGCGTGGAGGTGGCAAAACACGGCAGGGCTCAGATGGGTGAAGGGTGGCCTCCTAATTCCCCCACTCGTTCTTGTCACCATCCCACCCAGCTGAGGCCATGGGCCGGGTGACCTGCATGTCAAGCTTCCTTTTGGCGCTCACTGTCCACACTGCCAGTGCTCATACAGACGCTGACTTGGAAATCGCTTGCTTGCCGGTTCCGCAAAGTGCCCCACGGCAGACACTGCTGCTGCTGCCCCTGCCGTGACCACTCAGGGAAAACATCATAAAAACATCTCTGTGCAGGTACGATGCTGTGCTCTGGACCCACGTTATCCTACGTACTTCTCACCACAATGGGGGTGATCTAGGTACTACCATCGTCACAGCTTTTGTAAGTGAAGGACTGAGGCTCAAGGTGGGGTGGATTTGATTCAAGCACCCACTCGCTTAGCCAAGGTAGCGCCAAGCGATCGCACCAACCACAGCCAGGGGACGTCAGGATCATGCTTTTCCTTCTGCTGGATCCAGGGAACATCCATGTGCCTAATGAAAAATGCAGAAATGGATCCAAGCAGGCAAAGCCGATGGGAGCTGAGAACACAAGGTTGATAAGAACTGCAACCCGGTTTCCAGTGCCTTCCCCATACTCCCAGGTGCTTTTGTTTTTGTTTTTTTTTTTTAATTTATTTATTTATGATAGTCACAGAGAGAGAGACAGGCAGAGACACAGGCAGAGGGAGGAGCAGGCTCCATGCACCGGGAGCCCGACGTGGGACTCGATCCCGGGTCTCCAGGATCGCGCCCTGGGCCAAAGGCAGGCGCCAAACCGCTGCACCACCCAGGGATCCCTCTCCCAGGTGCTTTTGGATCTTGAAACCTTCTTTTGACTCTCTTTGAAACAGAGAGTACAGTGCTGGTACCTGTTTCCTTCCCATCCTCGGCCCGCTCTCCTCAACTATCAAGAGGGCTCTTTTCAGGTACTTTAAAAAAAAAGATTTTATTTATTTATTCATGAGAGACACCGAGAGAGAGGCAGAGACACAGGCAGATGGAAAAAGCCCCACGCAGCCGGCGCCAGGGCCGGGGACACTCGGGAGGGGGCGGCGGGGCGGTGGAGCGGGCAGGGGTGCGGTGGGGGGAACCCCGAGAGGGCGGGGGGGGCCTCCTGGCACGGGAATGAGCCCCCCCCCGTCCACCCCCGGAGGGAGGCGGTCAGGAAGCCAGGGCGCGGGGCGGCGCGGGGGCCACTGATGGTCGAGCGCCAGGAGGCCCCGAGCAGGGGCTGCGCCCGGCACAGGAGAGGTCGGGGTGCGGGCCGGAGGGCCGTGGGGGGAGGACTCGCGGGGCGCGGGGGGGAAGGGCTGGGGCCGGGGGCGGCGGCGCCCCCCCGGGGAAGGCCCGGGGCCCTCGCCAGCCCGGCTCGCGGCCCCCCGCAGGTCCTGGCGGCGCTGGACCGGGACGCCGCCTGTCGGAAGCAGAAGCTGCGCCAGAAGCTCGAGCAGATCATCGGGCTGGCGTCGGGCAACGGCTGACCGAGGGGGCGGCCGGCCCCGGCCCGCGGTCCTGGGCGGCCCTGGAGCGGGGCGGCGCCGGCCAACAGCCCCCGGGGACGCGCGGGCCCCTTCCTGAGTGCCTTCCTTCGGGCCCTGCGTGGGGCAGGGGGACGGGACCCAGCCCTGAGCCCCGCGGCAGCAATACCCCCCCCCACTATTTATACCCCAGCCACCTATTTATTTAATTTTTTAAAAATATTTTATTTATTTATTCATGAGAGGCAGAGAAAGAGGTAGAGACATGGACAGAGGGAAAAGCAGGCCCCATGCCAGAGACCCCGACGTGGGACTCGACCCCAGGACCCCAGGGTCACACCCCGGGCCTAAGGCGGCGCTGAACCACTGGACCCCCCGGGCTGCCCTGCAGCCCCCTAGTTATGTAGTGTATCTACCCCCCACCCCCCGCCCATCTGCCGGTGGCACCCCAGCCTCCTGGCTCCTCCCGAGTGCTCCCCGCCCCCCCTCGATTGGGCCCAAATGCTGGGAGCCTACGCCGGGGGAGCAGCCCCACGGGTGGGGGTGCCGGCCGGGGGGGAGGGCGTGCCCAGGGCCCCCCGCAGCCGAGTCGCAGCGTCCCCTCCACGCCCTGTGAGGGGGGGCACCGCGTTCTGAGCACCTGCAGTCCGGGGGGGCTGGCAGCAGGGCCTGAGCCCCGTCTGGGGGCCCGGCGCGCCCTACCCTTCCTAGCCCCCTGCCCGCACCCTCAGCCACCCTGTCAAGGGGTGGCCGAGGCCGAGAGGGAGAACCGGTCCTCCCCTCTGGCATGAGCTTTGCGTTGTTGCTGTTCCGGATTTATTTAATAAATTTATTTTTTACTGGTGTTCAATTTGCCAACATACAGAATAACACCCAGTGCTCATCCCGTCAAGTAGGGCAAAACTTTGTAATTCTAAGAGAAAATAATGGGGCCACAAGTTCCGAGCGCAGCATAGGAAGGATTCCTTAAGACACAAAAACAAGCCACTCAGGAAAAGATCGCTGCCTTACCTTAAAAGTGGGAACTGCTCTTCATTTTAAAAATACCAGAAAAAGGAAGAGCAACTGTAGGCTGCGATGGGCCATGTGTCCCGCACATCCCCAACAATTGCTCCTCAGGACGCATGAGGAGGAAGGGGGGGGGGACTAGAAAAATGCGGGCGCCTCAACATGAAAATCATAAAAACAGAAATACGCCCGAACAGACAAGTCACAAGAGAGAAAAAAAAAGAGATGGCCCTTAAATGTACAGAAAGATGGCCCATTGGGGCAGCCCGGGGGGCCCAGCGGTTTAGCGCCCGCCTTCGGCCCAGGGAGTCCCAGGATCGAGTCCTGCATCCGGCTCCCTGCGTGGGGCCTGCCTCTCCCTCTGCCTGGGTCTCTGCCTCTCTCTCTCTCTCTCTCTCTCTCTCTCTCTCTGTTTCATGAGTGGATGAATAAAATATTTAAGAAAAAAAAAGGATGGCCAATTAGTTACCAAGGGCGTGAAGATCAAACCACAGCAGGACACCACTGTCCCCACGCGACGGAGTGTTCTAGAAGCAAGCGCAGGCCAGGACGGAGGGCAGGACGGGGTGGATACGCTCCTGCTGAGCGTGCAAGTGCATCACCCACAGCCCGGGTACAAGGCGTTCGGTGAGTGCAGGACAGACCCGGCCCGGAGGCGGCACTTCCGACCCAGGCCGGAGCGTCCGCAGGGCTGAGCGTGACGCGTGCGACTGGGCCGGCGACGTCCCCGCAGTCTGTGCAACACGCTGCTAGTGATCTGAGGCCAAAACCGCCAGAGCCGCAGCGTGTGATTCACGGGCACTTGCACGCCGTCCGAAGTGTAGCTTTAAAGAGAGCGTGGGAAATGCGGCCGTCCACGTGGCGCGTAGTGTCTTGTGAGGAGAGACGGAGGTCGTGGCGCGGGTCGGGGGCCTCTGGGGCCGAGTGCTGGGCCCACGGGTGTGTGTCGCCCACGTTGCACCGTCCGCCTTGTATAAAGGGCCTTTGCGTGCACCTGGGACGCCTTTACTCGAGCTTAACTGTGACTGATCTTCTGGGGATCTGGTCTCTAAGGCCCTGGGCCCGTCAGATCCTTAAATTCTTGTCGCGGGAGATTTCGGCCCAGTGTTTCCGGGGGGGACAAAGGGCTCACTTTGTGCGGGGGGCCCCCTGGCGATGTCGTGTTTCAAGGGCCAGCTGTCGCGCAGACACGGAGGTCTCCCGAGAGCAGCCTGCTGCGACCCGATGGCAGGGGCTGCGGTGCGCCCCGAGTCGCCCCCCTGCCCCCGGCCTCACAGCCGTAACGTGGGCCCTGTGATGTTGCCTTCCAGAATCACGGGACAGCCAACCCCCTAGGCAGTGGCGCTCTGACGTGGACAAAGAAATTCAGCCTGGACTACTTAGCTCTGGACTTCAACTCAGCCTCCCCGGCCCCTGTACAGCAGGTAGGCCGTCCGTCGTGCCCGAGCCGTCCCGGGAGGGCGCCCCCCCCCCCCGCGTTTCCCTTTCCTTTTGCCAAATGAGCTCCCACTTCTCCTTCACCTGTAATTTCGTTCCCCAAACCTGGGCTGATGTTCCAGAACACCTGGTCCGCAGCGGGAGACCCGCGGGACAAAAGAGGGCCTGGGCGGCCTTGGGGGGCTCTGCAGTCAGGACCCCGCCCCCAGGCCCTCGGGGCTGGCGGCAGCGCGGGCCTCGGCTGCTGTGCTCGGGCCACGGCCCGCTGTGTCCCCGTCGCCCACCATCCGGGGCCCCGCTGCCCTCGTGCCAGAAGCACGAGCTGCCGGCCTCCCTCTCTGACGGCGTGCGTCCCTTCCACTGCCGTCGTATGGGTCACAGGAGCCCGATGGCCCGAGCAGGGCTGGAGGAGCCCAGGACCAGAGCTGTCCAAACACACACCCGAGGTGTCCGCCTCTGCGGAGAGCGACCGGGGGACCGGGGCGGGGGCTCCAAAGGGTTAACAACGCTGGAACCTACCACAAAAGGGCCAACGTTTTCCTGATTCGTGATTCAATGTGACGAAACCCTTTCTGTGCTCCCCCCTCAGAAACTTCTCCTCGCGGAAGAGCAAAGAGTCGACTACGTCCAAGTGGATGAGCAGAAGACCCAAGCCCTGCAGAGCACGAAGCAGGAGTGGACGGACGAGAGGCAGTCCAAAGTGTGAGGCGTGTGCTCGGGCCGGGATCGGGGCGCGGAGGCTCGGGCCCTGCCCTCACGGCTCTTTTGCCAGAATCGCACCGAGGGTCGATCCGGGTCAAGATCCGGGGAGAACCTGCAGGTTCCGTGGGCTCGGCAAGAACCGCTGGGAGAGAGGGTCATTTGTGCACGCTGAGCGGCCCTCCCCGGCCACACGGGCCCGGAGCCCCCAGGCTGTGCCCCCACGGCCGTGGACCGCGCCCCGGACCGGGCCGTTCACTTAGGCACGCTCCGAACAGTAAAAACGAGACTGGGGGAGTAGGGTTCCCAGAGTTCGGTGGAGAAGCTGTCCAGCGGAGCGTCGGGGCGCAGAGGAGAGCCGGTCTTGCCATCGGGACCATTTGGGTGTCACACTTGCGGATTCTGACCTGTGTCCTGACCTCCTGGCCCACGGACGGTCCTGGCACCGCGGCTCCTGGAGACGTCTCGTCCCGGCCCCCGAAATCGCGGCTGAGGAGACGCAAGCCGGAGACCCCAACAGGCACATCAGTCATTTGTCTCCCCAGAGAAAGAGAATTCAAGCGACGGCAGGGAGTGCTGGGCTCCGCGATGAGCATAGCAGGTGACCCCGGCCAGGTGGGCCTGCCCCTTCCCGGCACGCGTGCGCCTGCCTCGGCCACCTCTTGCCTGAACGAGCCCGGAAGCGAGGCGTGCCAGGGATGGTGGCTCCCGCTGGGAAGAAAGGACGAGTGAGCATGAGAGGAGGCAAGGCCGCCCAGGGGCCCGCACGGAGCCCAGCCCCGGGGGGAGGCCTGGGACAGAGCTGGCCACGCTGCCCGCCGGCACGACGATTTGCACGAGCTCTATCGCTTCGGCCGGCCTTGGGGCCACGAGCAACGCGTGCAGACACGGAGGACTCCTCGCCTCTCCCTGTCATAGGGTTTCGAGCTGGTGCTTTTTGACTGGACACGGCTGCATGTCCCGCCAGGCCCTCTGTGCGGTGTTCGAATGGGGAAGTAACGCCATCCGTAGGTACCGTCACGAATAGCTCTTAACGATCACCGTGACATCCGGCCTGGGATCCCGCGGTGCCCCGGCAGCGGGCTCCCCGTGAGCTGGCTGATGCTCACAGAGGTTTGTTGTCCCCTCGGGAAGGGGGATCGTCCCTGGCTGTCCTATGCTGGACCCAGTTTCCTGGCGGGTTTTTCCCTTCCGCTTTAGTGCTGCCTAAGCCCCGAGAGCACACGGTCCCACTTTGTCGTGAGGCCATCGCGTCACCCCTTCCTTGATGGGGCACCGGGGTCAAGTGGACCCAGATGAGAGTCTCAGTCGGGCACGGGGTTTTATTCAATGGGCCTTCTCGAGTCTTCAGAGCAGCTGCATCCAGAAGGCAAATCCGAACAACTGGGACGGAAGCAGATGCTGGCCTGCCATTCTGACCGGCTGTGTGTCGCGTAGGAGGATGGCTTAAGCAGGCAGGCAGGTCTGTGACAGCCAGGGCCAGTCGGGGCAGCTGTGGGCTTTGCTGTGGGGCTTGAGGGTTTCTAAGTGCCCCAAGGGTAAGTCAAGTCCAGTCTTGGCTTTTCAGACCGTTAGAGAAGTACTTTTCATGTGCAAAGCAGCGGGATCTGGTGACGGCATTTTCTTCCTGGAGGAAAGTGGGGTGTGGGGACGTTGTCGAATGCTTTAAATGATGTAAGGGTCCCCCACGAGCCTGGACGGAGAAATGAGAGGGGCCCCTGCACCCTGCAGCCAGCTCCACGTCACAACGCACAGGCCAGAGCCTGGAAGGAGCCGCCTTCTTCCCTGTGTGACTTACAAAGAGTCACAGAGCCGAGCCTCAGGCAACAATCCGGGGCTGGTGGACCTCGTAGACAGTAACCTCCGGGGGGAGGGGGGTGCACCTGTGTTCATATTCTTGATTACCTGACAGGCTGATGCCGGAATATTCTATGCCCAAGTGCCAAGAACCACACTCGACTGGAGCTAGATCAGGAAAGAAAGTACAGCTAAAATGACACCGGTAGTGAGGTGGCATCCAGTTGACCACCCCCCAAACCTCTTTGCAAAACAGTCCCCGGAAGCGTCGGCTGCACGAAGCAATACACACTGCAGCCGTGTGACTTGTCTGGGAGCAATTAATTAGGGGTGAGAAAAAAAGGACTTCAGCCTCCTTTCCAGGGTGTGTGTGACAGGCCCTGCGACAGGCCCTGCTTCGGTAAGACTGCCGATGGAAGGTTCCCCAGGAGCCTGACGCCTCGCGGCCGGGAAGGGCAGCCAGTTGGGGGCTGACGGCAGCGAGCGCCCCTGGGAAAGGGGCCGCCGTGCACGCGAGGCCGCTCGCCTCTTGTTTCCCTGCGGAGCTGGCTCGTGGGTAACGGGGCCAGGAGTGTGACCAGGGCCTGAGGCTTGGGGCTCTGCACTGAAAATGGGAACGATCACAGATACCAGAGGGAGGCAAGTGCTCACGGCAGCTGTGTGCCCTGCGCGGGGCACGGCCTCCGGGAGGTGGTGGGGCGAGCCCACGTGGGTCTCTGGAGCCCCTTTTTGCTTTTCCTCCCATGTCATCCTGTTGGGGAGTTCCTGCAGATCGGGGGCTGTGCCGTGCCGAAGGGGGGACCCAAGGGTCTCAAGCCTGCAAGTCCCCCAGGCCCCCCAGGAACTTGGGGCATGGCACTTTCCTTGGGGAGGGAGGAGCTCGAAGGCACAGGGTCCTCCCGCAGGAGAGGCCACCAGGTGCCTCCTGGGCAGGGAGCCACTGGACGGTGGCCTTTGTCCGCTCGGGGCCCCCTCCGTCCCGGGTAGGACCGGCCTTGTACGGAGAATCACGCTGATCTGCAAAACCCAGTATGTTTTGTACTGTTTCCTTTCTGGCATTAATAAAGGTTTTATACGGAGGAATGACACTCGAGTTCTCTCTTCTTCGTGTGAAGCGGTGCATTCGGTGGAAATGCAGAGCACCCCCTGAGAGCCCGGTATGGGGCGGTCCGCGGGCTCAGCGGTTTAGCACCGCCTTCGGCCCAGAGCGTGACCCCAGGGTCCCGGGATCGAGTCCCGCGTCGGGCTCCCTGCGTGGAGCCTGCTTCTCTGCCTGGGTCTCTGCCTCTCTGTCTCTCTGAATCTCATGAATAAATAAATAAAATCTTAAAAATAAAAAGACAGGAAGCCCGGCGTGTGGAAGCGGACCCCACTGCCATTTGCCAGGTCGGCAGCGGAGCAGCTCTCGGGGCCGCCTGCTCCTGCCCGGCCTGAGCCCGTCTCCACGCCTCTTTGCTTCACCGCGAGTGGAGCTCAGTACCCCTCCCTGGCAGCACGTACAACACGACCTTCGTCACTAGACCTCGGAAAGCGACAGCCCCCGGCCGGCCTGTCCCCGGCAGCGGAGTGTCCTGCGCCGCCCTCGCTCCGGGGGCCCGGGGCAGCAGGCGCTCGAAGCCGGGAAGCCAGGCAGGGACGAGCAAAGATGTGGGGGCTCAGGTCTGGGGACACAGGCCAAAGGCACAGAGATGAGAAGAGGCCACGCCAAATTGGCCCCGGAGGTGTGGGGCCGAGCTCGGGAACGCTCTTCCCCAGCGCAGCCCAGCCCAGCCCAGCCCCTGACCCAGAGAGGAGCGGGCCGGCCCGGGAGGCGCGCGTGCAAAGCGGAGGCCGGGCAACCTGACCCGAACGAAGGGTAATCTCACTCCAGGCCCCTGTGCTCTGGCCCCTTAACCAGAGCCCCCCCTAAGTTTCTAGCCTCCTGATTCTCCTTCTCTTGAGTTCACATTGCTCTTATTGCTGTCATCTCCCTACACGGTGCCATGTGCCTTACAAATTTATGTTTTCTTTTCCGCCACCGAGGGAGTGTGGCTCTGGTGCAGGCGGGCCCCCGGGCCCCACTGGGAGAGGAAGACATGGGACCGAGACGCAGACCCTCCCCACAACACACACAGCACTTCACTCACGGTACAGAAGACAGAGGAGAGCCTCGGGGACACGAGGGCCTTCCGGTCACGAGTGCCGGGTCATCGGATGGAGATCCCCGTGGACAATAACGACCCTTGCCCCACTTTGCCATCACGCGCAGCCATCGATTCCAGGCGGCCCCCAGTGGGAAAGGCGGAACAGCGGGTTTGGTGTGTGCCCTCTGCTGTATGTATCAGGTCCGTCATGCTCTGCACCACAGCTGCTCTGGTCTCTTGCGCCGTCAAGGCCTCTGCTGCAATGAGTTTTATCTGCATGAGACTGTTTGCCTTCATGTAAAAAACGCAACCTACTTGTTTTGGATCTGTCTGAAAATTTTACATTATTTCAATTTTTGGTTCTTCGATCTGAGACTTAATTCATTTCCATCCACTATGGTGACAAGTCAGAAGAGTGGCTACCTCTTTTGGGGAGCTTATGTTTGGAAAGATTTGTTTATTTATTTGAGAGAGAGTGATTGGGAGGAGGGGCAGAGGGAGATGTAGAGAGGGAATCTCCAGCAGACTCCCTGCTGAGTGCAGAGCCTGGTGAGAGGCTCGATCCCACAACCCAGAGCCCATGATCTGAGCTGAAACCCAGAGTCGGACACTCAACTGACCTGAGCCACCCAGGCACCCTGGGGAGATTATTATTGATTGAGAAGGGGCAGAAGAGAGCTTTCTGGAATGATAGAAATGTTCCGTATCTTAATCTGGGTGGTTATATGGAGGAATACATATGTAAAAATCCACGGATTTTTCAGTGAGTTTCATATTTGTACCGTTTACTGCATGTGAAGCATACTTCAAAATACCAGTTGGCATGAAGGAAAATAAATAAGCTCCAGGAGAATTCAAAAGTCGCTGTAAGAAGCATGACCATAAAACCTAGTAGAGGAAACTACAGGAAAGCTTTTCCGACTTGGGCTCTGTTGGGGCCGCGCCCAAAGCCTCCCGGACCCGTTTCACTGTTGGATGTGCCCCTTTCTGGTGGTTGTGCACTTGCTTCCAACGGCCCACCCCTGGGATTCCCTCTCCGAGCAGACCCCTCAGACAATAGCCAGAGCTGCTCTACCTGTAATAGCAGGGAGCTGGGAGGCCCTCACAAGGGGCCGCGTTCTGAAATCTCCGCTCCCTTTCCTCATATTGGGACAAAGTCTAAGTAGAAGTTATATTCCAGAGTTCCCCAGTGCGATCTTGCAGAAATCTTCCCCCTCACTTGGACTCTTCTCCTTCTGCTACTTTTTGTTTGTTGTTTGTTTGTTTCCTTGGTGGGTTCCTGACGACTTCACGCCAGAGTCCTAGTTTATTTATGGTCACACCACTGCCCATTTGAGTTTTCCATTAGCAGTCCCCCATTTGGTCCTTATCTCACTTGTGAGAAGTTGACCCACTCAAGGAAAACAGATCCCACGCCGTGCTGCTGCCCATAGTCTAGTCATCTTCATATTCAACTGAACTGGAAGATCTTCTTGTCCATTCATGTCATGGAGCAGCTAAGGCTTCAGCTAGGATGCAATGGACCAGGAATATGACCAATATAATTGGGAAATTCCTGCCTTCGGTGATTGATTTCATTGGATGAAATCCACCAAAACTCAGTGAATGACTCTCCACCCAATTTTATGATTCACCCTTGGATACGTTCGTAATGAGAAGCTTCATTAAAAATATCAATGAGGAAGAACAAATAAATATTGTCAAGGCCACTGCACCCCCATTCCTATGCAGCTGCACTAGGAAGAATATTTTGGTGACTGTGAAGACTCCGATCCTTAACTCAACATCGTGCCATGACTCTCTGGATATGCCATTCATCACTGGGGCTCATGGTAAACCCCTCCAGGAAATGTGCACTTCTGCTACTTTTCAAGTATCCGCGGCTGAGGCTTTGGCGAAGCCAACTGAAGAACGTTGAATTCTGGCAACGTGGTCACACGGTTGCAGAGCTATCCCCCCTCCACTTGCTCCTCCAGAATCTAACCACTCCACGCTGAGTGATGGAGTCCGCATCGCCACCCCCAGAGCTGGCTGGAACTGGGCGGTGAGTGCCTTCGCCCAGAGAACACAGTGGGGGAGGCACCAGGAGGAGGCACCAGGTGTCCGAGGCTGGTCAGGCCATGTGGTCCAGCTTCTGCTTGGTGCGCTCTTGGGACTTGCACCCTTGGAACCGAGCCAGCAGGCCATGAGGAAGCCTGCACCACAGGGAAAGGAACGGAGGCCCGAGGCCCGCAGGCTGTGACTGAGGCCTCTCGGAGGTGATTTCTGCAGCTACATTGAGCACCCGTGAGCCTAACCCCCGGCGACTGCCCAGGTGGGAGATGCGTGTGCGAAGTCAGTTGTTGAATTCACTAAGTCTGGGGGCAGTTTGTGATGTGATCGCAGTTACTGCACCGCTGACCCAAGACGGGGGAGGCGGGAAACGACAACAACGGCTTTGTATGTTCTCTATTTGAGAAGGTCGTGAGTGGTGTGGAAGGGACACAGCAGTGGGAGAGCAACTGCCTGTGCGCGGGCCTGTGGGGGGCCGGCCACGCAGGTAGGTAGGGCGAGGCCACGAGCTTTGGGAAGGCCTGCAGGAGGTGACCGGGAGGCCGGAGCTGCATGGGGCTGCGCACTCAAGGCCCCGAGAAGACTGCAGGCCGACTCCCCAAACCTGCAATGCTGAAGGCACAGCCAAGAAGCTCTCTCCTGGCCAATGTGACGACCTTTGCTCAGGTTCGGGATGAGCGTGGAGCCGGTTTAGGGCCGTGGGCCGTGGAGACCCATGGCCTGAATTCCATTTGAGACACAAGGATTGCCGTAGCGTCCGGGTTGAGGAGAGGGCGTCGGAGGGTTAAGACTGAGGTCCGGGAGGGCAGGTGGCACAGGACTGCGCTCACGCGACCGCCGGAAGGAGTGGCCTGGAGCAGGGCGGCACGGGTACAACGGTGAGGGCATTGTAGACGGTGTGCGTGGGAACAATCCGCTGAGGGCTGGACGGGGGCCAGGAGGTGGCGAGTCAAGAATGATGCTTGGGTTTTCACCCAAGCAACTGGGAGAACGAGGTCAGCGTCCCGACCAGAAAGACTGGGTGGAAAAGGCTTCTAGGGGTCGGGAGGCGGAGACCCAGAACTTTTCAAAACCACCCAGAGCTGCCGTAGAGATCGAGAGGCTGCGAAAGCTCAGACGTGTTTTGGGGTGCCCGGGAGGCGCGGTGCTAGGGTGGGCGGGTGGGAGCTGCGAGGTCAAGCTCAGTAGGCGCCGGATGTGGGAGTGTGAGGACACGCGTGTCGTGGATGGGACCAACCTGCGAGCCCGGCCCGACCCTGACAGCCCCGAGCCCCCCACAAGCTCCCCTCGGGCTGAGAGCAGGTGCAGAGAGAGAAAGCCCCAAGCAGCCAGTGCCGGGGCCCTGGGACACTCAGGAAGGGGCAGCGGAGCACGCAGGGGCGGGAGGGAACCCGAGAAGGTGGGGGGGGGGCCTCCTGGCAAGGGAATGAGACCCCCCGTTGCCCCCGGGAGGGAGGTGGTCAGGGAGCCGGGGCGCGGGGCGGTGCGGGGGACACTGATGGTCGAGCCACAGGAGGCCCTGAGCAGGGACTGTGCCCCGCAGCGGGATCCCAGAGACCCACACAGGAGAGGTCGGGGTGTGGCCTCAGGCTGGGGGCAGGTGGGGGGGCGAGGTGTCCTGTGAAAAGTGCGGGGCGTCCTGGGGCAGGTGCGGTGTAGGCAGGGGAGAGGTGTCCTGCGGGGGGCGTCGGCCTCTGCACGAACAGGAGGCATGGTCACGGGGTGCAGGGTCCGGGATCCAGGGAGGGCAGCCGTGGCCACCCTGAGGTCAGCAAATCTGGGGGTTCCCCGTGCGAGGCCCCGCCCTTGGCACCCACCCCCACCGCCACGGCCCCCTGGACCTAGCACCCCTCGGCTGGGGGGCGGGGTCGTGTCCCCGCTGCTGCCCCACCTGCCCTCGTCTA